AAAACGTACTAACCAATCTCTGGGCTTTCGAATTAATCGGCAGGAGAAGAGGGAGGAAACGATACTTCCGCCGCTGCCGCAGGCACTGCGGGCGTCGCGCGCGCTGCGGTCGACGACGGAAGCATATCCGTCGAGCATCATTGCGGTCCGGAACGGTCCTCACTGCCCGGGCCCCAAGTGAAGAACAGAGAAATAACAAGCAGAAGACGAAAAACACAAGAAGATGAAGAAATTGCTTGTGCATGTTTCATGAAGATTAAGTTAATGTATTCTTTGTAGGATGAGGGTACTAATAGATATAAAATATTGCAAATTTCAAATGTAGTTCGTAAAATTTTGACAAACACATGATAAATCCGTAAAAGTAAAAGGTTTTTTCTTCGTGATAACTACTTAACTGCTACAGGAATGAATGATGGCCGAATTCTTAGTCGACTTTAAGACAATCCTTAAGCAATACGTTATTGGTGAAAGTACGTAGTCTCTTCTAGAGGTACGTATTTCGTAGCATTCATTAAAGCAGAAAGCGTATTCATTAAAGCAGAATGAGAACTTCCTTAAGTGATCAGAATCGTGACGTATCATTTGCACCTGCTGATTCATCGTTGAGTGGCCAAGGAATGCAAATAGTCAGTATATCCCGAACAAAGAGTTTTGGGCGCTTCGGAGATATTTTGTAATTGCGCACTTTCAAACGTTTATTCTTTTTTCTGTCGTAACTTTTCTTATTACGAATGATGTGATGCATAGTATATCTTTAATATTTTAATAGTAGGAAGACTCCGATACTTTTTTCGAAAAATGAAGAGTTTTCAATGAAAAAAGATGCATTATTCTCTTACACCTCCTTCAGATTACTCAACAACAATATATAACCAAAAACGATGCAGCCATTTAACGGTTTGCTGAATGGTTTTGCCACTAGCGTCAGAGGTCAGAGGCTTTGACGTAAAGCAATTTTTCGGAATTAAGGACCCCCAAAACAGGATCCTACACCACGAGTTGCATGGTATTTCTCCTAAATTTATCAACTGGATTGATCCACTTTTTCGTAACCAGTGCCCTGTAATAAGAGTCTTTTTGTCGCGCAGCATTACGAACATTCTTTGTACTCCGTAGGGGGTAAAGTACAGACGTCCGTTGCAACGTGCATCAAACGCGCTTGCTCGCCCTTTCGGTGGCGGCCACTGTGCGGCGGCGCGGCGCGGCGCGCGCACTACTGTGTTGAGGAAGGCGGCGGTCGCTCCGCGCACCAGACGCTTCCCAGCGCTCGCGCCGCCAAACGCACGGCAGATGCTCAGCAGAGAACTACAGCCTTCGCAGACGGGAGCGCCGTCCCCACGCTGGAGACTCTGACGAGCGAACGCGCGAGGAGAGTGAAGAGCGGAAGTAGAGGGTGCCTCTCAACTCGCACTAAAGGGGCGTCGATTCAATAATAATAATAATAATAATAATAATAATAATAATAATAATAATAATAATAATAAAAAACCTATTGTGTAAGAAAATGGCTAGACTCCCAGGTCTTTCAAAAGTCTGGGAAGTGCAAGAAATTGCTTTATCCGAACAGCCTACATTTTGTGCGAATTATTGTAGAGGCACCGACAGCCCCTAGATCTGCTCCTCTGGTAGCTTGCAACATCGAGTATTTTATATTCAGCCGAGTCATAATATCTCTAGTCGTGATATAGAGAGAAATAATAATAATCAATAATAATAATGAGAATAAGAATAAGAATGTATTAATATGTTCGGTTTTTAAATTAGAAAATATTGAAAGAAGTGAACATGATCATTTCAATTCCAAATATTTTTACAATTTAAAATATTCCCAAATCTTCAGAACTTGACGCTACATCGTCAATGGAGTAATATCTTCTTTCTCAGCTAGATGATGAGAGGAGCGTAGCGAAATTTGCGTGGTCAGACGAAAAAGCAGGCCTCATGGCCTGAGTCTCACCACGTACAATAAGTTATCATTGAATTGAATATGCCATACCCTCATCTCAAAGATGTAAACCAATTCCAAAGTCAATTAAAAATTAAAATATCCACGCGAAATATGAGTGAATGTATCACGCATAACATTTAGAAGTAACTAACAAAACATTGATGTACCAAAAATGTTCTCACATGAGAAAATGCAGTTCTGTTGAAAACAGGCATAATAGATAGAAAAACTCTTCCAAGAATCAATAATGTAAATTAATAGTTCCGCGTATCGTGGTGATTCCGAAACCATCTCTCGAAGAGGAATCATAATCTTATATTTTAAGGTAACAAAATTTGCGGACGTATCAACTCATAGCAAAACTAAGCTTTAAATGTGAAATGTAGAACATTTTATCTTACTACGATGCCGTCATCACTAATAAAGAATTTTTTAATCTGATGATTCAAAACATTTAGTGATCTAAAGACTGGATTTTTGTGCAGCAAAACTCTTTTAAAAAGTGCAGTAAAAACACCAAAACGTGCAAAAACATGTAATCAAAATATAAAAACTTTGCAAAATGTCTTTATGTAGCATAAAAACTCCAGTTAATCCACTTATAAACTTATTTTACACCTTGACTTAGAATTGAAGGTGAATAAAATATGAATTTAATGTTTTATTGAGATATAATTGTTTGTACTTGTTATTTAAACAAATCCTAGTTTATACTTTAAATAGTATTCACAAAGAAAATTAAATTATCATAAAAAAAGTCAATACAAGCCCTGCTTAATACGGTCTCAACCATGCGACATCTAGCGGCACGACTGAGAAAGAGGCGAAATGCCGCCACATATTCCATAATGAAGACGAGGCTTGACGCCACGTTATAAAAACCGAAATATAAAAGTAGCGAAACCTGCGTTCATTCTCTCTCTTTGTCTTGCAACCGTACCGAGAATTCCCATGAATTTGAGACGCAGTGCAGTTTGCGTGCAGTAGGGTTCGCGCCAGGTCGTTATGTCAAATGTGAGTCGCGCATGCAGCCTCGTGTTGCTTAGTTCAGCGAATACCGCCAAAACGGATACCTGATCTTGCGAAGACTGACCCCGACCATAGCGTTGGTTGAGCGGACCCAACGAAGGGCTGAGTTCGTGCGAACACCGTGTATCCACACTCCGAATTGCAACTTCTCAAACATTTCAAATTAGACAATATGTATCATGAAAGGTACAGACGCTCAGCTCATATGGAAACAAAATGCAGAATTGATTCATATTAAATGGCGGGATTCACAGACCACCCACTGCCTAGTCATACTTTGTTTTAAAATGATACGTTTGAAAAAGGTAAATTGAAAAAAAGCTAATAGTAAAATAATTAATTTTATGCAATAAAACTAAGAATCTTGCAAATTCGTCCAGTAAAAACCCAAAATGTGCAATTCTCAGATAACTATTACCCACAACGTGCAATTTCGTGCAGTAACCTCCTAAACATGCAAAATAAACCGAGTATTATAAGAACGTCCGTTTTATGATTCAAATTTCAGACTTGGTTTCATCCAATTTCAAGTTATCATAGAAAAGATGCAATAATGCGAGAATCCGGTCTTTAATCATCACCATTTGGTTATTCAATACGCAATGCAAATAGGTATTGAAGATGGGTGGGGTGAAGCAGGGCAGGGGCGGACATGACGGACTACGCGTGGCGAGGCAAGGACGTGGGGCGGGGCGGGGCATATCTTGGTGAGAGGAGGCGAAGGGGGACGGGGAAGGACAGGTGGGAGGGTGGGCAAGGCGGAGGCGGGGGCGGACGACGAGATGTGAGGCGGGGCGAGGTGGGACGAGGTGGGGCGAGGAGGGACGGGTCGAGGAGGAGTAAGGAGTGGCGAGACGGGGTGAGGCGGGGCGAGGTGAGAAGGAGAGAGTCGGAGACCCGGGCAGATCAGGGCAGGGCCGGACCGAACGACGAGAGCCGTGGCGGGGGTGGGGGCGATACTGGGAGGGTGACGCCTGGTGAGCGAGCGCGCAGAGCGGGGAGGAGCGATTTGGAACGGGGCGGTAGTGGAGAGGGCAACTCGAAATGGATTCATTAGATAATTCAATTTTTTTTCTTCTTCGGAACACATTATCGAGGTTATACTGAATCAGTAACGGCAAATCTTAGGCTGTTCACTGAATAAGAAATTTTCATATATTTTTCCCGTCCAGAGAAAAAGCTTATAAGAGAGAATAAAGAAGATCCATCTCAAGAACTCTGTGGCTATGGTACGGTCATCTCCGAAGCGTTAGCTATGTAGAGACATCAATGCACCCACACAGGGGCGGATCCAGCCGGTCACTTTGGAGGGGGCCTTCATAGATTTTAGTTAAATAATAAACATTTGTAATTATATTTTACATTATTTTTGAAGTGTATGTATGATACCACACATTATTTTTTTTAAATAATAGCATAGTTCTAACATAAATATTTAAATCAATTTTACCAAATAAAGGAATGTAACAAACGAAAACAGGAGGACTTGGGGGGGGGGCATAACCCCCCCCCCCCTTTCATCCACTTTCTTCAATTAAAACGGCTGATCAAGTAAATATCGCCATGTACACGTAGGCTTCCGCGGCTCGAGTCCATTACTTCTAGGCTGTCCGGCAGACGCCGCGTCGTCGGCCTATCTGCCAACGACGCGGCGTCACCCGGACAGCCTAGAAGTGAATATCGCCATGTCCGCTCGCTCAACAGATCGCAAGGGAATACATGTGAACACATCTCGCCACGAGGAGGAAAAGAGTCAAGCGGTCATCTAAGAGGCGGGCCACCTCCCGCGAAGCGAGATGACGTGCGCGGATGGGCGGAAGCCGAGGGGTCGCATCCGGAAGCTGGCGGCGCGGCGCGGGAGTTCGGCGAATGGGAGCGCGCGCTCGCGGTCTCGCCGTGACGTCCGCCGCCGCCGCCGCCGCCGCCGCCGCCGCCGCCGTGCGAGCGAACGAGCGCCTAGAGGCCGCGCGCGCGTGGCCGCGCCGCCTCAGTCGCGCCTCCGCTTCTGCCCGCGAGTCGCCGCCGCCTCCTCCTCGCCTGCGCCGCCCCCAGCGGCCCTCCGCGCGGCGCCCGCCCATCGCCGCCGCTCCACGCCGCGCCCCTGCGGGCTCCAGGTAAGCCACGCTCACGGGATCAGCTAGCTATTCGATCACTTGCTCTGGCTAAAAGAATTCAAAGCAAGGATGCACCAACTTATCGGCGGCATCTTTCTCATTATTACATGGAAACTCATCTCTTCGTACTTGTTTGCAATTAACTGATGTGTGATGTTTGCATTGCATTGCAAACGATTTTGAAAGAAATTATTCACATGAAATAGATCTTTCTTGTGGTTCAATTCAAACTCTTAACTTACGCGATAGCTCAGATCTAAACGTCATTCATGTTTAAGTTTAGAATAACATAATCCTGATATTAGGGTTAAATTAATTTTGAATTAAGTTTGTTTGTTGAATTAATTTTTTGCAAAGTATAATAAAAATAAAATATTGCACCGCGCCAGTGCGTAGGTCAGTGTGCAGATCATTTTAAATCCTTTTAGCATCGAAAAAGATACGCATTTTATTTCTTGGGGCCCTCCGTGCTTCAGGTAAGCGATACGCGCACACGCACCGCGGGCATTGACAGGGTGAGCGATTTTCACACAACGAAAAAGATCTGCGGATCGGATCATTTGAAGATATCAGCGCACTAGTGACTTTAAGAAAACAGAGAAAACTCAAATTAAAGTTATATAGTTGTGGTTGGAAATAATTGTGAAGAGAAAAAACAGTGGCTTCATTCTTAACTTCCTAGAGAAAAATTATTCAAACCAACAATGTACAAAGATACTTCATCTCATTAGGTAACAAATGGTATCAATTCATATTTCATTGGGGGGGGGGGTATTACTACTGCACTTAGCTCATTTGTTCTTGCGATCATTTTGAATCCTTTTACCACCTAAAAAGATAGTTATATTTTTTGCCGTCGTTTTATTATTTGCCCCCTTAAGGCATGCGCTGTCAGGATGCGCCATTGGCATGTAATTACGAAAAAGAAGTCGCGGATAATTTCATTTGTTTCTGAGATCATTTTCAATCTTTTTAAAATCTAAAAAAATACAGTTATTTTATTTCTTTGCTCTAATTTCATTATTTTTTGGTTTGAGTTACGTTTCCGATGCACGAACTGTCAAGTTGCGCCATTGGCAAGTAATAACGAAAAGAAACACCTGATAAATTCATTTGTTTCTGAGATCATGTTCAATCTTTTTAGAATAAAAAAACATATTTATTTTATTTCTTTGCGGTCATTTCATTATTTTGCAGCTTTAGTTACGTCATGCGCGCTGCACGCTCACTACGTACTGGTGGGACTGCGAAATTTTATTTTATTTTATTTTTTTTCGCAAAAATTAATTCAGTGGGATCTACCTCATAGCAGGATTATGTTCTAAACCTAAACACGAATAGCGTTTATAACTCAGTTGCAACATAAGCTCGAGTTTGAAGCGAACCACAAGAAATAAATACCACCAATAAGTTAGTTTATAATTATCACAACTGCAAACACGTATGTTTGGTTTTGCACTCTGCAGTAAGCATATCTATCGAAGCCAAACATTCGTAACCTCATTGAGGATCATTAAACAGCATCAAATATCACCTGGCTTCGAACATTGAAGAATGCAAACCAATGATCAGACGAACACCGTTCACCGGCTACGTACTAGAATAGCCGTAGCTTTCCTGCTTTCCGCGGAATTCCTTTCGGCCGCTTTGAATTTGTAACTGCCAGGCGTCGCAGTCTTAGCGAGGTCGGGGGTGGAGGGGGCTGGGAGCCGCGGGTCGCTGGCGAGTGCGTGACTGCGGAGGCCCCGCGCCGGTGCACGACTGCACCTCCGAAAAGCGCCGGCCGGCCGGCCGGCCGGCCGGCCACTCGGCGAAGAGGCTGAGGGCGTGGGAAGCGTTTCTGCTTTGCGTCAACCCCAAGCGCTCCTTTTGCTCAAGTCACGCTTAAAAACAGTCATTATTTTATCTCTCATTTGTAGCCGAAGAGATACATGGATGGTTGGTTCTTAGATACCGGGCGCGTCGAGGTATATACTCCCGTAAGTGTAGTACACGTTTTTGCTCGAGAAGTGCCAGTGATATTACCCCGCTGAATGGCGAGATCTGGCGTCGAACAACCGTCCACTAGCCGGTTTTCCCCAGCCAGGTATCTCCCACCTGCGGGGCACCGCCCCAGCCATGACCAGCTTCCGACTGATCTCCCGACATGTGTGACAGTGTAGTGCATCAGCGACAGTTGGATGTTTCGTTAGTTTTCCTGTTACGGTGAAAACTCAAGAATTGTTTTCCACATGCAATATATTCGCAGGGGAATGACCTATTTTTAGAAAAAATCTACCGTCTTTCATGTACACGTAAGCTTCCGCGGCTCGAATCTGCTGGGAGACCGCAGCTGGCAGGCCGACGCTTCGCCTGACATGTCGAAGGTTACCTTAGGACAGCGAGGAAGCCTGCGACACAGTCCTCGACACTGCCCTCAGGAAGCCTGCGACATGTCAGGCGAAACGTCGGCCTCTCAGCCAACGGCGCGGCGTCTCCCAGATAGCCAAGAATTTACTGTCTTTCATATACTGAGGAACAATTTTAATATAATTTTTCACTTAACAAATAACTTTAACCTAGGACGAAATGCTGTGCACCCCTGCCGCATCAAATCCAAATTCCCAAAAGATAAATTTCGCCCCCCGTAAGCACATGATAAAACCAATTCAAACATCCAACCTAACATTAAAGCATGTAAATTTTAAATAAACAATAAAACATACCAATCCCAATCCAACACCTTAAAAAACGGAGCAGTGATGTCAAGCTCAAAATGCCAAGGATGCCTATTCCTAACAATGAAAAATCTATTCTATCCAAGCCCTTGAAAGGCCACATGACCGAACAAGAAGAAAATAAATGAAAAAAATAATTAATATCAAAATAATCATCAACACATTAAACCAATTAAGTCACCTTCAATAACGCCCTATTCCAACGAATCCCCACACATTTCCATGTTGTCCCTGGCGTCCGAAGAGGGGCTTCCCGGAGCCTGCGCCGGAGCAGTGGATGTGTTTTTCTCCATTTCGCGCACGCGCCGCAGCGCAGCGCCCCCTCCCACTAATTTCCGGGGGTCGCTTCCGATTCGCGCGACGCACCGCGCCGCTGCGCCCGTATAATATCGGGACGATGGTCGAGTACATCCGATCACATTGCTCGTTAAGCCAGTTCTCTCCAACACCAACGCTAATCCTACGATACTCTTTAGATTGGATACGTTCAATGATGGTCTAAACTTCCCCATTAAATCATTTTTAAAAAAATGACAACAAACCCACTATAAGAACACTACACAAATAATTCTCTAAATTGTAGAAACATGGCAATATCTGAGAAGTAACAGTTCAACAATACTTTTATTCATATTTTTCTAGCTGCATTCATATTAGCTGTATGACGAATGGATATCACGCATACAATAATAATAATAACAATAATAATAACAATAATAATAACAATAATAATAACAATAATAATAACAATAATAATAATAATAGTAAAGCACTCGAAATTCGTCAGACTATAATGATTGTAAATCACATTATATTGAATAATAGAAGTAACCTCAGAGACATGCGAGAACATATTTCTGATAAACCCACCTATAATGTAGGTTTTACTTTCAGCACCGCGAATACCAGTGGCTTATCTTAAACACATACGGAAATAGGAAAACAGTGACCCGATGTACAGTTCAATTCGCACAAAACAAATAGAAAAAGAACTTGATGATCTTTCGCAAGTGTCCGATTGCGGTGTTGCGCCTGTCCTTTCCTTCTGCGGAATCCAGTGAGTCATCTGTAGCGAGCATTCTCGTCGACGTGACACCTACCCTCGCGCAGAGACGCGCCGCGGCAGGACTTCCCTTATCGCGGGGAAACTCCGGGTTTGCCAAGAACTGTCGCAGCAGCGTTCGCAGCTCTTCTACCCCTAGGCATGCAAATGTATAAGATGCGTGCAAAATGCCGGCAAGCCACCCTTCACAATTTCTTCCCGCACGACGGTTGTGTAGGGTTCGCCGTTCGCATCAGTCTACTCAATTTCACGTATTTATATATGTTGGCGCATTAGCAGGTTGAATTTTCACAATCACCACGTTATTCAAGTAGACATTTATATTTAAAATACGTATATTTAAGGGTCTGCCTAAACTTTCGTTTATTTGTATGTGAGTAATTATTCCAAGTTTTTGTACGAGTAAATACAACATTGAAATGAACTCGCGCATCTCCTGCAATCAATTCTATTAATAAAATAAAATATAATTTAATCAATGTGTAATTTGAAACTGCAGATGAGTTTCCTCAAACACTGGAAAATATTGAAGATTCGAAGTCTGTAATCTTTACAGTGTTTGATAATCGTTTTGAATATTTTGAAGTTGGAATGGGCAATGTTTATAGTTAGCAGAAAATCAATCATTTTGTTCTTGTTGAATAGTTCTGTCGTGTTTCTGCTAAGACCCATGGTTGCTAGTGGCGAGTTTGTTTTTGCTTCTCTGACCCAAAAGAGGCCTGAATTTCCTGTACGCACCGTAAAATTGTATTTTTAACTTTTACAAAGTTATTAGATTTTATGAATTGAGTATTTCGGATACTACGAATAAGCATCGGTGATCTGAACGTGACGATCGGGGGAGAAGTACAACGAGCGCACGCCTCGTCGGCCTCAATCCCGGGCGCCAATCTTCAGTGTAGAAATATGAAAAAATCTGACATCAGCGCCTGCCCAGAAAAGAAAATTGCGGCAACAGGAGGCTTCCGTGCAACCGCGTCCGCCGGCAACCGCACGCCGCGGCTCCTCAGCTGCGCACGCGCTGTCGCAACGCGCCC